AAACACTTCTATGGCAAGAAATTCTAAGTATACAGAAGTGAACAGGCTGGGCATGGTGATTCACATCTGTAATCCCAGCACTTCGGGAGACCAAGTCAGGTGAATCACTTGAGGTCAGGAGTTTTGAGACCAGCCTGGCCAGCGTGGTGAAATCCTGTCTCTACTAAAAAAAAATAGTCGGGTGTGATGGCGGGTGCCTGTAATCCCAGCTACTTGGGAGGCTGAGGCAGGTGGATCACGAGGTCAAGAGATTGAGACCATCCTGGCCAACATGGTGAAACCCCGTCTCTACTAAAAAAAAAAAAAAATTAGCTGGGCGTGGTGGCGGGCGCCTGTAATCCTGGCCACTCAGGAGGCTGAGGCAGGAGAATCGCTTGAACCCAGGAGGCGGAGGTTGCAGTGAGCCGAGATCGCGCCATTGCACTCCAGCCTGGCGACAGAGCCAAAACTCATCTCAAAAAAAAAAAAAAGTGGGAGGGTTTACATTTTTCATCAAATATACAAAGACAATCAGGTGCGTCTGTGAACATCCACAGTATGTGGTTCCACTCACTGGCCAATTCTGCAGCTCCCCTTTGTCTTCCTGAAGGGTCTCCCTGGGGCTTATGCAGGGGAAGGGCTCCAGGAGACCCTGACAGCGCCTACTGCTGTAACTGAAGTCTCACGGCCATCGAGGAGGCATGAGAAGGTGCCAGCACAAGCTTGCAAAGGGTTTTGACATCATCCACCAATATGTCCCACGTCCCCTTCAACTCTTCGCTGACCCGGCTGAGATTCTGCAGATGCCGCCTCACCTGGCTCTAAGCGGATTGGGGCAGGTGGTGAGTTAGATTAGGTCAAGGCCAGGGAAACCTGCTAGGGAGAAGGGCAGGGACTGAGAGGGAGGGAGAGGCTAGGGAGGGAGAGGGAAGGGGGAGCATGGGTCTGCACAGGGCAGAGAGGTAGGAGGTGAGTTAGAGGAGGGAAGAGATATGGGTTGAGGGTGTTGTGTAAATGGCAAAATAATAAGATCACCCATTTACTTAGAGCTTCCTGTAAGCGAGGCTCTGTGCTGGGCATGTAAATGGCATAACCCAATATTGCTCACACCCTGCACGTATGGAGAAGGTGTAGTTGTTACCCAAAGTCTCGTGGACCTCCAGCTGCCCACGGGTCATCCTCCAGACAGTCCAAGAAGCAGGTGAGCTTGGTACCACTCGAAAGAATGGAGGGCTTCAGGGCAGCGCTCTTCAGCTGGGAGGCCTGGTCCATGCTCAGACTGAATATTTGCAGTCTACTCAGAAAGGCACTTCCACACCCTGATGGTTGGCATAACCCCCCGTAGGCAAAGGGATTACAGGCTGCCAGCCTCAAAGGACCTTTTGTAAGGGTATTAGAGCACATAGGACAGCTGCCGTCACATGGGAAGTGACACATGCTAGGGAGACCCTGCCTATTCTGGTTTTGAGGGCGAGAAACTCCTGTGCCTCAGTTTCCCCTTTTCTTTGCACCTCATTCTCTCCTCTCCCTGCCCCCACCATCCATCTCTCCCTGTTTCAATCGCTCTGCTTCCCTCGGGAGCCTCAGTGTGGTTTTCTGTGTACATCCCTCTCAGGATCTCTCTGAGAAGCAGGAAGGTTTTTCATTATATCCTGGCCGTCTGTCCCCACCTCCAAATGCAGCCTGTCACATGTCTCCCCCAAATCCGCACTAATGCTCCCTGTGTTTTGCTGAGGCTGGCCTGACCTAAGAGGATTGAAGCATTTGCTAAATGAGACCAGGACGGGGTCAGAGAACTAGCTGTGGGAAGACACGGGCCGCAAAGTGATGGCAGAGGAAGCAGGAGAGGAGAGGGCGGAGGGAAGAGGTGGCATGCGATTGGTGCAAGAACACAGAGACCAAGAGCCCAGTAGAGACTTTCTGTAGAGCCAGTCGTGGTGGCTCACGCTTGTAATTCCAGCACTTTGGGAGGCCAAGGCGGGAGGATCACTTGAACCCAGCAATTAGACCAGCCTGGGTAACATGGTGAGCCCTTGTTTCTACAAAAAGTAAAAAGAAATTAGCCAGGCATGGTGGTGTGTGCATGTGGTCCCAGCTACTCAGAAGGCAGAGTTGGGGGAGGATCATTGGAACCTCGGAGGTTGAGGCTGCAGTGAACGGTGATTGTGCCACTATACTCCAGCCTGAGCAACAGAGTGAGACCCTGTCAAAAAAAAAAAAAAAAAAAAGAAAAAAGAAAAAAAGCAAGCCAGGTGTGGTGGGTCATGCCTGTGGTCTCAGCACATTGGGAGGCTGAGGCTATCGAATCAATGAAGCCCAGAGTTCAAGACCAACATAGCCAACATGACAAAGCCCTGTTTCTCCCTTTTTTTTTTTTTTTTTTGAGACAGAGTCTTGTTCTGTCACCAGCTGGAGTGTAGTGGCGACATCTCAGCTCACTGCAACTCCACTCCCAGGTTCAAGCAATTTTCCTGCCTCAGACTCCCAAATAGCTGGGACTACAGGTGCGTGCCACCACGCCCAGCTAATTTTTGTATTTTTAGTAGAGACAGGGTTTCACCATGTTGGCCAGGATGGTCTCAAAATACAAAAAAATTTAGCTTAAATGTGGCTGTAAATAAAACAAAACAACAACAACAACGAAAAAATTAACTGGGCATGGTGGTGCATGCCTGTAATCCCAGCTACTCAGGAGGCTGAGGCATGAGAATTACTTGAACCTGGGATGCAGAGGCTGCAGTGGGCTGAGATGGTGCCATTGCACTCCAGCCTGGGTGACAAAGTGAGACTATCTAAAAAAACAACAATGAAAATCAAACAAACAGAAAGACTTTGTAGATACAGACTCAAACATTAATGGACCCTTGATTTGTGACAAAATACAAAATAAATTACAAGGTTCTCAATAAATCAACAATTGGAAATCCACGAGAAAAGAAAAATCCTTACCTCACACCATACACCATCAATTCTATATGTATGAGAGACCTAAATATGAAAGGTAAAACTATAAACATTTAGTGAACAAAACAGAATACCTTCATCATCATGTGATAATGAAAGATTTCTTATTTTCCTGTTGGGTACTTGATATTGGAGAAAGATATTTTAAGCAAGCCAAAAAAGGAAAGCATTACTCTTAGAAGGGAAAAGTGAGAAAATAGAGCAATCTTCAAAGCCGTAAGCCAAACACTTCAGACTGGTGCCACCTGTGGGTTTTGTCTCTAATTAGTAACAATTAGGAACAGAGGCCTTTTAGAAACACCAACTTTTATAAGCTTTTCTGTCAATTTGAAAATAGAGATATATTGAGGTATCTTGTAAAAGTAATTTTTATTTTATCATTATATGTATGTATATATATATATATATATATATATATATATATTTTTTTTTTTTTTTTTGAGACAGAGTTTCACTCTTGTTACCCAGGCTGGAGTGCAATGGCGTGATCTCGGCTCACCGCAACCTCCGCCTCCTGGGTTCAGGCAATTCTCCTGCCTCAGCCTCCTGAGTAGCTGGGATTACAGGCACGCGCCACCATGCCCAGCTAATTTTTTTGTATTTTTAGTAGAGACGGGGTTTCACCATGTTGACCAGGATGGTCTCGATCTCTTGATCTTGTGATCCACCCGCCTCGGCCTCCCAAAGTGCTGTGATTACAGGCTTGAGCCACCGCGCCTGGCCCACTTTATATTTTTTAGACAAGATCTCACTCTGTAGTACAGGCTGCAGTATGGTGGCAGTATCTCAGCTCACTGCAACATCAGGTTTAAGTGATTATTCTGCCTTAGCCTCCCAAGTAGCTGGGATTCCAGGCGCCTGCCAGCATGCCTGGGTCAATTTTGTATATATTATACGTATTTTTGAGATGTAGTCTAGCTCTGTTGCCAGGCTGGAGTGCAGTGGTGCAGTCTCGGCTTATTGCAACCTCTGACTCCTGGGTTCCAGCGATTCTCCTGCCTCAATCTCCTGAGTAGTTGGGACTATAGGTGTGCGCTACCACGCCCAGCGAGTTTTTAATTTTTATTTTTAGTAGAGATGGTTTTGACCATGTTAGCTAGGATGGTCTGGATCTCCTGACCTTGTGATCTGCCTGCCTCAGTCTCCCAAAGTGCTGGGATTACAGGCATGAGCCACTGTGCCCAGTCTAATCTTTGTATTTTTTTTTTTTAAGTAAGAGATGGGATTTCACCATTTTGGCCAGGCTGGTCTCGAACTCCTGACTTCAAGTGATCCACCTGGCTTGGCCTCCCCCCGGCTTGGCCACGTAAAGTGTTGGGATTACAGGCATGAGCCACCACCACGCCTGGCCCATTTTAATTTTTACTGATGACTTCATTGTGTTTTACATGATCAATCTGCTGCTGATAGAAATGAAAAATAAAAAGATAAAACTGGTCCATAACAACAGGTAATTTGAAAAGTGGTGAAATAGATAACATTAAAATCAAGAAACGCTACTAATTAAACAAAATACAAATAGGAAAGGCATCTACAGCACTTTAATTACCAAGAGAATACAAGAATTCATTGAAATAGATTAACAACAATGGGTAAACAAATAGACACATTATGAGGATATCTAAGATTCAATTAACATCTGAGAATTTCTAAACCTCTCAGTCATCAGGGAAATGGATATTAAAACCAAAACAAAACCACAAGTCATTGAATTGACAAACATTACAAAGTCTCACGAGCGCTGGGGAAGATGCTGACCATCAGAAGCAGTGGGAAAAGCCCTTTATAAATAAAGCTCTCAAGCAGCATTCACTAATGCCAAATATCCCAGTGACCAGTGACTCCAATCCTCCAGAAACATGCTCAGGCTCAATTCAGATGAGAGGCAGGCACATTTCCAGCAGAGCCACCTGTGATGGCCACACGGTGTAGACAGCAAATGTCCACCTGCAGCCAGGTGGGTAAAGGGTGGTGCATTCGCTGCAGAAAGTCACCAGCAGTGTAGATTAGCCACTCCAGTCCCCTGGGATCTGCAGGACTTTGCAGACACAGGCCCCCTATACATCCAGTAATGACCTGGGGCCTGAGTAGTTTTCATTCACAGAGCCATCCTCTTGATGCTGATACCCTGAGCCTTCTCTGTTCAGAGTCATCCCCTTCTTGGCATTGAGATGTCATGGTGGAGACTGAGGATCCCTCCAAGGGGTCTAGAGGTGTGAGCAGCTCCGTGAAGTCAGGCAATAATGGAGTGTCTGGCGAGAATCTGGAGGTCTAGGGGCTCTGAGGCCACACAAGGCCTGGGGCTGGGAGTGATCCTGGTCCTGGGATTGGGCTTGGCAGTGATCCTGGGCCTGGGATTGGGGCTGGGAGCCATCCTGGGCCTGAGATTGGGGCTGGGCATGATCCTGGGCCTGGGATTGGGGCTGGGAGCGATCCTGGGCCTGGGATTGGGGCTGGGAGCGATCCTGGGCCTGGGATTGGGGCTGGGAGCGATCCTGGGCCTGGGATTGGGGCTGGGAGCGATCCTGGGCCTGAGATTGGGGCTGGGCATGATCCTGGGCCTGGGATTGGGGCTGGGAGCGATCCTGGGCCTGGGATTGGGGCTGGGAGCGATCCTGGGCCTGAGATTGGGGCTGGGCATGATCCTGGGCCTGGGATTGGGGCTGGGAGCGATCCTGGGCCTGAGATTGGGGCTGGGAGCGATCCTGGGCCTGAGATTGGGGCTGGGAGGGATCCTGGGCCTGGGATTGGGATTGGGGCTGGGAGCGATCCTGGGCCTGGGTTTGGGGCTGGGAGCGATCCTGGGCCTGGGTTTGGGGCTGGGAGCGATCCTGGGCCTGGGATTGGGCTTGGAAGTGATCTTGGGATTGGGTCTAGGAGTGATCCTGGGCTTTGGCCTAGAATGGGGGCTGGGCCTAGGAGTGAGCCTAGGCTTGGCATCTGGCCAGAGCTAAAGATGGGACCCGGGCCTGGGATCTGGGCTGGGTCTGGGCTGTGGCCTGGCATCCAGTCTGGGATCTGATCTGGGGCTGAGACTGGGCCAAGGAGTGGGGCTGGGATCGCGCCAGGGCCTGGACCCAGGGCAGCCAGGAAGCCACCGTGTGCACCACGCTCAGGACCACCCCAGGCCTGGTGGAGGCTGTAGGTCGTGGAGTTTGCTGCTGGGAGGATTCCCGAGGGGCCCGGCTGAGGGGACATCCAGGAATCGCAGCCCTGCGGGAACTCAGGACCCCCAGGGGCAGAGGCAGCGGTTGCAGGGACTGGGGGCGCAGCGCCGGCTCTGCGGCCTCTTCGCGCTGGGCCGCTCTGGGGATGCTTCTTGAGCTGCTCCCGGGCTGCTTTGGCGCGCCGATTCTTGAACCACACCTAGGGGGAGAGGGGACAGGGAGGAGGTGTGAAGGAGAGCACCGCCTGGGCCTCGGGGGCTGACCGTCCTGAAGCCTCACCCTGTGGTCACCCCCCCACACCCCACTCCCCACCATAGGAGGGCCACGAGAAGGGAGGGGAGAGGGAGGGAAAAGGATTAAGAGGCAGCTGGGGTGGGGGAGGAGCGGGCCTGCCGCCCAGGAGCTCGGGGGCCAGGGAGGGTTCGAGGGGAGGGACCCTGGGGGTTCTCAGGGGGCCTGAGGTCTGGACACCGGGAGACCCCGTGGGACACAGCCTGGGCCGATCACGTGGGCGGATTTGGGCCCGCAGAGTTGGAGCAGGTCTCGGGGTGCAGCCCTGGTTTATCCTGGTGGGAGGTGGCCTGGTGTGCCAGGCCCCAGTGACAGCGGTGGGGAGGCTTCGTGGGGTGACGGGGGCGGGGCGGGGCAGGGTCAGACCTGCAGCTGGTGCTCCCTGAGGTTGAGTTTCTGCGCCAGCTCCTGTCGCTCGTCAAAGGTCAGGTACTGCTTTTCCCGAAAGCAAGCTTCCAGCTCTTCCTGCTGGCTGCGAGTGTAGACCGTGCGCTCCTGCCGCTGTCTCCTCGGAGGGTTTTGGTTCAGGGGACGGCCCTGGGCCGGGGGAGGTCCTGGGGACGGGAGGGAAACAGAGTCAGAGAAGCCCCCAGGCAGCCTCCCCAGCTCCCCCAGAAACTCGGTCCCCTGCGCCAGGCGAGGAGCCCAGGCCGTCTGGCTGGGGTGGCGCCGGGATAGCAGCCTGAGGTCCGGACCAGACCTCGCACCTCGCTGGGCCTCAGGGTCCACATCTTGGCAATGGGCGTGATAACAGCCCCTGTATTATTCGGGACCCCACAGAGGGAAAGGCAGGCAGCCTGGGCGCCTCACCCGGAGCAGACGGCGCAGCCTCTGGCCTGCTCAGACCTCCCCAGCTGTCCCTCCCCTCCTACCCAAGGGCTCTAGGGACCCTGACACCCGCAGGCCATCGCCACCTGCACCATCCTCTGCTCCACTCAGTTGCACGATTTAATTTCTTTCCTTCGGTCTTTTTCCTGGAGAGGGGATCTTGCTGTCACCCAGGCTGGAGTGCAGTGACGTGACTACGGGTCAAGGCAGCCTCCATCTCCTGGGCTCAAGCAATCCCCGGCCTTAGTCTCCTGAGTAGCTGGGACCACGGGTGTGCACCACCACCCCTGGGTAATTTTTGTATTTTTGGTAGAGACAGGTCTCACTCTGTTGGCCAGGCTGGTTTCAGAATCCTGGGCTCAAGTGATCCTCCCGCCTTGGCCTCCTAAAGAGCTGAGGTCACCGGCGTGAGCCGATGCTCCCAGCTGCACCATTTGATTCCATTTCCCAAAGGCCACGAAGTCCTCCCCCATCTGCAGGGCAGGAAGCCGCCTGCACAGCCCCAGCCCTTCTCTGGATGCCAGATCTGCACTCTGCAGCCTCTGACACGGGATGGGCCCAGGCCCCTCACAGCGCTGTCCCGGCTCACCTTGGGGATCCCTAGGGTCTTGCATCCTGAGTCCTGCTCTGTTCTCAAACACAAGTGTGCAGTGACACAAGTCTGGCTGTTAAATCACTTTTATGCTGTGCCCACCCTGCCCTGCCCCGCCCTGCTGGGACCCTCCCTTCCCACCCTGCCCTGCAGTCCCGCCTCCTGAAGGAGTTGAATGACTGATTAATTTTTCTTTTTCTTTTGAGATGGAGTCTTGCTCTTTTGTGAGTAGCTGGGATTCCAGGTGCCCTCCACCACACGGGGATAATTTTTTTGTATTTTTAGTAGGGATGGGGGTTTCACCAGGTTGGCCAGCTGGTCTTGAACTCCTGACCTTGTGACCCACCCGCCTCGGCCTCCCAGCCTGCTGGGATTACAGGCATGAGCCACCACACCTGGCTGGATTAATTTTTCATCACTGATCGGGTACTGCCTGCTGAGCTGTGCTGGGAGCTGGAGAACCTCAATGCCCAACACCGCCTTGGTTTTACCCTCACGCGCCCTAGCCCTGGCGAGAGGGCATTCCACACGGGGTCGAGGGAATCAGCATCATGACCCGTGGTTGGGGTCCCCATCTCAGGAGAGGCACCACCAGCCAGCCAGCTCCCAGGAGTCATCCTCATTCCTCCCCAGGGCCGGGGCCCCACAGGACCATTGCCAGGACCACTACCCACTCTCTGGGTTCCCAGGCTGCCCGCCTCATCCCGCCACCATCCCTCCCTCCTGGATGACCCCACAGCCTCCTCTTTGGTCCCTCGAGGCCACTCTGGCCACGACTATCCATTCCAAAAATTGTCCCCAGGTGCCTGGGCGTCTGGAGAGCTCAGTACACACCAGCCCTGCTGATATAGGTTGGTTTCTATAGTGGTCTTGCCCATGGGGCATTCACACAGACCTCTGCGGGTTTCTCCTGCTGAGTAAATGACCTCGGTGCTGGTTTATTCCAGTTTATGTAAGGGGCTGGTGAGCTGGGTTCACCAGATCCCAGCCTCTCTGAGCTGCACAGACCTTATCAGGAGGGGGTACAAGTCTGATGGACGTTCCGTGGGCCGCTGTTGACCTGCCCTTGTGAGTGAATGAACCCGCTGTTGATGACACAGGGGACCCATGACCTTGGTCCACACAAGTCGAGTCCCTCAGAGATGCATCTTCTCTGTCAGACACCTGGCTGCCCTCTTCTCTCTGTGGCGGGACCCAAGTGGGTTCAGGGGCCAGAGAGATTACAAGGCTCACGGTGCAGGGAACTAGAAATGGCTGGTGCCATCAATTTCAAAACTCCATCAAACGTAGACATTGTTCCCACAGCCCTGCTCATTGTCTTCACCTGCTGCTTAGAGTTCTGTCGTAGAAAGCGGCATCCCAAGCAACGACTCCCCATTGGGCAGCTGTCCCGCTTCACCCACAGGACGCGCTGGGAACGCAGTGGTTTCCATGGAGATTTTGCACCTGGCTATTTCTTTGGTCAATAAAGGCAGAAACAGATGAACAAGCTCACTGGTACTATTTTGTGAGGAGAGACATTTAAATATAGGCAAGTTCACGGCAGCATGATTCACGATCGCCCAAAAGGAAAAATCACCAAAACCTGGATCCACCGAGGCATGGATAAACAAAATGCCGCATGGCCTGGCGGGGTGGCTCAGGCCTGTAATCCCAGCACTTTGGGAGGCCAAGGTGGGTGGATTACCTGAGGTCAGGAGTTCAAGACCAGCCTGGTCAACATGCCAAAACTCCGTCTCTACTAAAAATACAAAAATTAGCCAGGCATGGTGGCACACACCTGTAATTTCAGCTACTTAGGAGGCTGAGGCAGGGGAATTGCTTGAGGCTCACACCTGTAATCCCAGCACTTAGGGAGGCGGAGGAGGGCAAATCACTTGAGGTCAGAAGTTCGAGACCAGCCTGGTCAACATGGTGAAGCACTGTCTCTACTAAAAATAGAAAAAAATTAGCCGAGCGTGGTGGCAGGAGCCTGTAATCCCAGCTATTTGGTAGGCTGAGGCAGGAGAATCACTCGAACCCGGGAGGCAGAGGTTTCAGGGAGCTGAGATTGTGCCATTGCACTCCAGCCTGGGTGACAGAGGGAGACTCCATCTCAAAAAACAAAACGTAACACTCCCCCACCAAAAAAAAAAAAAAAAAAAAAAAACCCAAAAAACAAAAAACCCACAAAAAATAAAAACCTAAAATGTCATCTATCCACACCATGGGATATTACTCAACCGTGAAAAGGAATAAAAGGATATTACTCAACCGTGAAAAGGCATACGTGCTACAACATGAAGCCACCTTGCCAACACGATGCTGAGTGAAAGAAGCCAGACAGAAAGGCCACATATTATGTGATTCTATTTATACGAAGTGTCCAGAATAGGCAAACCCAGAGAGACAGAAAGCAGATTAGTGGTTGTGAGGGGTTGGGGAGAAGGGAAAATTGGGATCATCTCAGAATAGCTATGGAATTTTTCTTGGGGGTGGTGAAAACTGTCCTAAAATTGATTATAGTGTTAGAGGCACAACTCTGCAAGTACACTAAAAACCAGTTATTTTATTTTTAATTTTTTTTTTTTGAGACGGAGTCTTGCTCTCTTGCCCAGGCTGGAGTGCAGTGTGGTGCGATCTTGGCTCACTGTAACCTCTGCCTCCTGGGTTCAAGCAATTATCCTGCCTCAGCCTCTGGAGTAGTTGGGATCACAGGCGCCCGCCACCACACCCAGCTAAATTTTTTTTTGTGCGTGTGTTTTTAGTAGAGATGGGGGTTTCAGTATGTTGGCCAGGCTGGTCTTGAACCCCTGACCTCAAGTGATTTGCACACCTTGGCCTCCCAAAGTGCTGGGATTGTAGGTGTGAGCCACCATGCCTGGCCTCAATGATTTATTCTAAGAGGCTTATCCTGGGAAAGGCCAGGCTCAGAGGTGGGTGGATCACCTGAGGTCAGCAGTTGGAGACCAGCCTGACCAACATGGTGAAACACTGTCTGTACTAAAAATACAAAAATTAGATGGGCGTGGTGGCTGGTGCCCGTAATCCCAGCTACTCGGAAGGCTGAGGTGGGAGAATCACTTGAACCCAGGAGGCGGAGATTGCAGTGAGCCAAGATTGAGCCATTGCACTTCAGCTGGGCAACAAGAGTCAAACGCTCCTCTCAAAAAAAAAAAAAAAAAAAAAAAAAAAAAAAAAAAAAAAAAAAAAAAAAGAGAGAGAGAGATTTATCCTGGGAAAATACTTGTTCCTCTGTGAATAAGCTCAGATATGAGTGTTCAGTGTAGCATTTCTTTGAAATATCAACTGAGTTGATTGGATTAATTCACACCCACAAATTAGAAGATGATTAAATAACTGTGTTAACCTCAGACTACAGAACGCTAATAAAAGCTTTAAAAAGGAATGAAGTGGTAACCTGTTAGTAACAAATAATGATTTTAAATTTATTTTTTGTTTTATTTGCCTGGTGGATGTCTGCTTGCTGCTTCCTGAAATAAATGTGTCTTGAACACAGAGACTTCGTTAGGCTTTTAATTTTTCTCTGGAATCTCCATGTCTATAACAGGAAAAGCTCAAAGTTGACTAAATGATTGAGTTTGCGTTTTCTGTATCGAATGCTGTCTCAGGCACAGAATGTATACATTTAATAAGCATATACGAAATATATATATATATATATATATACATATGTAACATATATATACTCTATATACATTCTTTTCTTTCTTTTGTTTTTTGGAGACAGGGTCTCGCTGTGTCACCCAGGCTGGAGTGCAGCGGCGCCATCTCGGCCCACTGCAGCCTCCGCCTCTTTGGCTCAAGCCATCCTGTCACCTCAGCCTCCCAGGTAGCTGGGACAACAGGCACATGCCACTGTGCCTGGCTAATTTTTGTATATATATTTTTTGAGACGAAGTTTCATTCTTGTTGCCCAGGCTGGAGTACAATGGTGTAATCTCGGCTCACTGCAACCTCTGCCTCCTGGGTTAAAGCGATTCTCCTGCCTCAGCCTCCCAAGTAGCTGTGTTACAGGCATGGGCCACCATGCCCGGCTAATTTTGTATTTTGAGTAGAGACAGGGTTTCTCCATGTTGGTCAGGCTGGTCTCAAAGTCCTGATCTCAGGTGATCCGCCCACCTCGGCCTCCCAAAGTGCTGGGATTACAGGCGTGAGCCACTGCGCCCGGCCTCTTTTCTCTGGTTTCTACTGCTTATAATAATTTTTTAATGTACAAGCTGGAAAACAAGAAGCATTTCTGGCCTTGAATGCCACCCTAGGGCACATCAACACCCTGCCCCTCCTGTGCCTTCTCTTGTCCTGACGTGTCTTCAGGGTTGGATGGAATTTCTGGAGATTCCTCCTGGCGCTCCCCAGGCAATGGCCAAATCCCCAGAGTCGCCTGGATGGAGGGAGGTCTTCTGGGGCCTGGGGCTAAAGCCATGGGGGTGGCAACGAAGTTGGTGGAAAAGTGTGAAGAAGGGATTAGGGAATCCATTCTTGGCCAGGTGCAGTGACTCATACCTGTAATCCCAGCACTTTGGGAGTCTGAGGCGGGTGGATCACCTGAGTCAAGAGTTCAAGACCAGCCTGGCCAACATGGTGAAACTCCGTCTCTACTAGAAATACAAAAATTAGCTGGGTGTGGTGGTGGGCCCTTGTAATCCCAGCTACTCAGGGAGAATTGCTTGAACCTGGGAGGCAGAGGTTGCAGTGAGCCGAGATTGTGCCACTACGTTCCAGTCTGGGTGACAGAGTGAGACACTGTCTCAAAAAAACAAAACAAAACAAAACAAAAACCCAACAAAAAAAAAAACAAAAGAAACCCACCCAGAATTAGCCAGCATAGTGACGTGCACCTGTATTCCCAGCTGTCTGGGACGCTGAGTGGGGGAGATTTGCTGGAGCTTGGAAGGCTGAGGTTGCAACGAGCCGTGATTTCCCCACCACACGCCAGCCTGGGCCACGGGGTGAGACCCTGTCTCAACAAACAAACAAACAACCCCCCCTCAAACTCCACCTCCCAAAACACACACACAGAAAACCCAAAAAACCACATGCCAAGAATTAGTAAATAACGCTGGTTGAGAAAATCGGGTCCTTGTAGAGAGGAATGTTCCAGAATTACAGGCAGAGGCACTAGGCGTTCCGGTGACTGTGGCGGTGAGGGCTGAGTTGGAAGAACACTTTCCAGGCGCGGGGAGCAAGACCGCTCAGCCTCCAGGTGCCCTCTCCACCCTCGGCGTCCCCCGACCCTGCCCCTCTATCTCCCCCTTTCTCTGTTCCTCAGTTTCCCCTCCTTGTTGCTCCTTGTGTTGTTCCAGTGTGTGAGTTGCTGTGTGTCTACCCCCTTCCAGGGTCTGACAAGCAGAAGGAGTTTTCATTATATCCTGGAAGCCTGCCCCCCACTCCATCCCCCCAAATCGGATCTAATTCTTTGTGCTCTGCTGAGGCTGGCCTGGTCTAAGAGGATTGGGACGTTTGCTAAATGGGACCAGGACAGGATCAGAGAGGCGGCGCTGGGGAGACCCAGGGGTCCGCACGGCCACCAGGGGGCGGCAGAGCCTCAGGGGACAGCGGGCAGAGAAGGGCAGGGGCGGTCGGGGGAGGGCGAAGCGGGACTGCTCCCCGGTTGTTTAGAGAATGGCATTTAAGGGGTTAGAAGGGTGCCAAGATTGTTGATTTTTTGTTTGTTTGTTTTTTGTTTTTTGTTTTTTGTTTTGAGACGGAGTTTCGCTTTTGTTACCCAGGCTGGAGTGCAATGGCGCGATCTCGGCTCACCGCAACCTCCGCCTCCTGGGTTCAGGCAATTCTCCTGCCTCAGCCTCCTGAGTAGCTGGGATGACAGGCACGCGCCACCATGCCCAGCTAATGTTTTGTATTTTTAGTAGAGACGGGGTTTCACCATGTTGACCGGGATGGTCTCGATCTCTCGACCTTGTGATCCACCCGCCTCGGCCTCCCAAAGTGCTGGGATTACAGGCTTGAGCCACCGCGCCCGGCCTGTTTGTCTGTTTTGAGATAGAGTCCTGCTCTGTTGCCCAGGCTGGAGTGCAGTGGCGTGATCTCGGCTCACTGCAACCTCTGCTTCCCGGATTCAAGTGATTCTCCTGCCTCAGCCTCCCAAGTAGCTGGGATTACATGTGTTTGCCACCAGGCCTGGCTAATTTTGTATTTTTAGTAGAGACGGGGTTTCATCATGTTGTCCAGGCTGGTCTTGGACTCCTCACCATAAATGATCTGCCCTCTTGGGCTCCCATAGTGCTGGATTATAGGTGTGAGCCAGTGTGCCTGGCTCAAAATACATTTTAAGTGAAATTTAAAGTCTTCAAAAGCATTTTTAAAATTCCACACTTTTAATTTCTAATTCATACCAGGCTCAGTGGCTCATGCCTGTAATTCCAGCACTTTGGGAGGCCCAGGTGGGAGGATCACTTGAGATCAGAAGGTTGAGACCAGCCTGGGCAACATAGTGAGACCTCTGTCTCTACAAAAAATAAATAAATAAATAAATAAATAAATTAGGCAGGTATGGTTGTATGCACCTGTAGTCCCAGCTACTCAGGAGACTGAGATGACAGGATCATTTGAGCCCAGGAGGTTGAGGCTGCAGTGAGCTGAGATCATCACATCACTGCACTCCAGCCTGGGCAACAGAGCAAGATCCTGTCTCAAAAAAATGTAAATTAAATAATTTCCAATACAGTAAATAGCAATAGCTATATAGCCAATATCAATAAAAGCTCTTTGGGCCCTCAGTTACTTTAAATTCTAAGAGCTGGAGAGGACCCTGGGGTGTTTCTGGGGGACTTGGGGCAAGTCTTATTTAGACTCTGGGTCGCGTGTAGCGGGGTAGTTGAGGGCAGGGTTTTGAGAAGCAAACACGGCAGGTCCCAAATATTGTTTATTTATTTATTTATGTGTGTATTTTTCTGAGACAGGGTCTCGCTCTGTCGCCCAGGCTGGAGTTTAGTGGCTTGGGCGGCGGAGTGTGAATGCTCACAGCCACCTTGTGGGACAGACATGCAGATAACCCCATTCTACAGGGTGGGAGGGGACACTGGGCCTGGCAGCGAGGGAGATGCCCACAGGTCGGGCGGCTGATGACCTTAAGGACCTGTGGGGGGGGGGTCCCAGCTTCTCACACACTGCATGTACCATGGATCTTGAGATCAAGACCTCAGGGAACAAGAACCCCTTGGAAACTTCTTCGAGGTAGCTCCTGGTATCATCCCCGTTTTACAGAGGAGGAAACAGGCTCAGAGAAGCGCGTTCTCCAGTTTATCTAGCACATCGGCGTCAGAGCCAAGGCTGAGCCCGCCCCTGCCCCAGAGCCTGTGCCCTCCCGGCCACCAGGCAACGTGGCCTCTTGGGATGCTGGCCACAGCCCCACGGAACTCAGAGGCCTCTTTCTCAGAGGAGGAAACTGAGGCTGAGAGAGGTTTAGTCAATTCTCGAGGTCACACAGGTGATGGGTGGAAGAACCAGGGGTAGAATCTCTCTGATCCCAGAGTCCCGCTCTTCACCTCCAAGTCTACCTGGGGTTCCTAGAAGCTGGATGAGGTAAGCTCCCTCCCCTGCTCCCACTCCTGTGCCAGGCCACCCCATGCTAGGCCTGGCACACGGGATTCCCATGGCTCATTGTGATAGCTTGTAACTGTCTCCACTTTGAGACAAGGCAACTGAGGCCCAGAGAGCCCACATGAAGGGCTCAAGGCCACGCAGCGAGAAAAGAACAGAGTTTCAACCCAGACTCATGTGGCTTCACGCCAGCTCTTGTCAAGACCCTCCCGGCTCAGCCACGCTCAGGGCCCTCCCTTGTCAGCCCTTCCAGCCTCTCTCTGCAGCCTCTGTTGGCTCCTCTGTCCAGTGAGGACAAGGAGGTGGGTGGATGCACCCACTACCAGACAGGGGACTTGGTAGAAGCCAGGTTTCATGGCACTGTTAGAACCTGAATGAAATAACTCGGCAACACTATGATCCTGGGAGCATCCAGAGATTCCAATACCAGTGGGCAGCCCCACAGTCTGACCTCACCGTGCTGCAATCACAAGCCCTTGGTCCTTTTGGGAAAATATCAGACCTCTTCTCTGTGCCAGCCTCTCGACCTGGTTCTTCCCCTCCCTCCCTCCATCCATCCATCAATCCATCCATCCGTCTGTCACCTGTCTGTCCATCCATCCATCCATCCATCCGTCCGTCCGTCCATCCATCCATCCATCCGTCATCCGTCTGTCCGTCCGTCCATCCATTCATCCACTTTTTTTCACACTGTGTGTCTGGGACAGTCCCAGGTACTGGGGCTATAGCTGAGAACAAGACAGCCAGGGTTCCAGCCTCCTGACAAGGGCAGATAAGGAACAAGGTGTCAGTAAGAGTTTCGCAAAAGGTTAAACAGGATGAATATGTTAGGGAGTTAAGGGGGTGCAGGTATCCCCCCATTCTGCAGTAGAGCCTGGAGTGAAACTGATCAACAACCTGATCCAGGGATCCCCCAGTATTCCACACATCTTCAGACCGTCTCCAGCATTTAACCCTGCTTTTTCCAGTGGCAATCAGCTGCATTACAGTAAGACTCAAAGGCCGGTAGCGGAAGTTCTCCAACTCATTTTATTCCCCAAAAGTTGTTTTGATTATTTTAGATCATTTATATTTCCATAGCAACTTCAGAATCAGTGTGACAGTCAATTTCTGCGGAAAAATCCTGAGGAAATTCTGACTGCGTTTGCAGTGAATCGTAAGGATTCGTTTGAGAAGGATTGACCTCTTAGTAACATTGGGTCCAGTCCATGTTCAATCCATGAACATGGTGTCGTTCTCTATTGACTTGAGTCTCCTTTAATTTCTTCCAGCCATGCGTTCTATTTTTTCAGTAGGACAATTATGTGAAAGAAGAGACGGCAGGACTTATGGACGGATTGGATGTGGGTGGTGAGGAGAAAGGGGTTGGGGGCAAGGCTGAGTGCCCAGATTTCTGCTTGAGCCACTGGGTGGAGAGAGAAAGAAAGCAGCTTGCCTTAGAAGACCTAGCTCAGAGAGGAAGCGCTTGGATTTGGTTTCAGCTTAATTGATCCCAGGGCCATGTGCAGGATGAGCTGAAACCCACCTCTCTGTACCCCCAGCCCTGCAAGGACTCTGGATCCAGGAGCTAACCGATACCCAAATTCCCCGGGGCAGGTGATTTAAGTGTTGCTGACGCCTTCTCTATCCTGCAAGAAGTCATTCTCTCCTCCCTCTCCCTGCACAGCTGACCATCCTTCCCTGCTCCAGGGCCAGAGGGTCTGTTCCAGGACTGGATTCTCCCATCAGGACCCTCTGGACTGGTCACCGAGGGTCAGACAGCCCCTCCCTCTCTTGCTGTCACCCCTGGCTCTTCAAGCTAATGAGACCTGTCCTGATTCCCCAGCCCGGCCTGCAGCCTTAATCTTTCCTAGCAGGAGGTTTGGGGGAGGGAGGAGGAGAAAGAAAGGGCTCCTTATGGCTGAGACACAATGACCCAGCCACCAGGAGGGATTACCGGGTGTGTGTGTGTGTGTGCTCGCGTGTGCTTGTGTGCGTGTTTGGGTGCATGGGGAAGTGAAATAGCCCCGTGTGGGGCCCAGGAGCTCAGGGAGATATTAATACCCAGAGAGACAGACGAGAGGAGAGAGACACAGAGAGGGTCTGAGACAAGGAGAACTGGAAATACAGAACAACAGAGGTCCCAGGAAAGGGAGAAGGACAGAAATGAAAAGCAATCCTCCTGGCTACTCGGGAGGCTGAGGCAGGAGAATTGCTTGAACCTGGGAGGCGGCGTCTGCAGTGAGCGGAGATCGTGCCACTGCACTCCAGCCTGGGTGACAGAGCAAGACTCGGTCTCAAAATAAAAGCAAAAAAATAAAAGGCAATCCAGAGGGAGGGGAAGGAAGAATCAGAGAGTGACGGGGAAAGAGAGAAGGAGGAACAGAGACTGGAGCTGCAGAGCGGCGTGGTGGATAAGTGAGGACAGAGGGACAGAGACGAGGCTGGAGTTACAGGGACAGGTGGACAGGCGGAAAGACAGCACAGAGAGGGGCAGACAGACAGGAACAGAAAGACACAGAGGCTGAGGGAGAGGGGAGAGAGAGCGAGACAGATGGAGAGACAGAGACACAGAGAGAATAAGAGAGATCGAGGACGCAATGCAGGTTTCTCAATAAGGATAGGGACGGAGAGAAGCAGATGAATAGGAGATGGGTATTTCTGCAAGTGGGCAGAAATGCCACAGCCTGAGGCCCAGAGAAAAAGAAACCGAGAAACAGAGATGCCAGACAAAGACCAATGGTGTGTAGAGAGATGGAGAGTGCTGGGTTGGGTGGACTCATGCCTGCAATCCCAGCACTTTCGGAGGCCGAGGTGTGGGAGGATTGCTTGAGGCCAGGAGTTTGAGGCCAGCCTGGGCAACATAAGACTCCATCTCTATGAAAATAATAATAATAAAAATAATAATAATAATAATTAGCTGGGTGTTGTGGTGTGTGCCTGTAAAGTCTCAGCTACAGGAAGCTGAGGAGGGAGGATCCCTTGAGCACAGGAGGTCAAGGCTGCTGCGAACCATGATCGTGCCGCTGCACCACAGCCTGGGTGACAGAGTGAGTCCCTGTCTCAAAAAAAAAAAAAAAAAAAAAAAAGAGAAAGAGAAAGAAAAAAACCCCTCATACCCCCAAACGCCACCCAAAACAGAAAAACAAAACGTCCTTTCTAATAAGTCTGCCTATGTTTAGAGCTGGGAGCAACCCCCCTATTTTTAGGGCTGGGAGCAACCCCTACCACCCCGGCCCCCAAAAAGAGGACACTGTCATGTCTGACAACATAGAGTCAGACCACAGACAAGAGTTGACCAAAAGGGGAAACTGAGGCAGAAACCAAGAACAATGAGGCAGTACAGAGATATAAACTAGCCGTCAGACAGACAGCTGTGGAGAGAAAGCGGAGAGCTGGGAGAGGCATCCCGAAAGCCCTGGGCCTCTTTTTTCAGATGATCTCTCAGCACCGTCTGACAGTTCTGTCCTTCCTCTTTGATGCCTCTCTCTCTGGCCACTAGCTGAAGCTGGAGAGACACCAGTTAGACCTAAGAAAGGACTTCCCTGAGAAGTAGAGGCTTATGGGGCCTCCCTTCCCCATCAGCCCTAATTGCCAAGATGTCATGGGGGGAAGAGGAGGGGATTAAGCAGACGGGTGCCCCTCCCCCTCCCAGCCAATGTCACCTCCTGGTGCCCAGTGGAGTCCCCCACCTTGGCCGGGATTACCCTCCGAGATCCAGGCCATGACAAATGACATCACTCCCAGCCCGGGCTTAAAATCTCCCCATGTGAGGGGACGTGTTTCCTCCAGCCTCTGCAGTCTGCCCGCTCTGTCTATGTCCTGGGCCACCAGGAGAGCCCCGTCCCTCCTTTCTGAAGGTGAGTGTCTGCAGGAGAGGCAGAGGGGAACCAAAGAAGGGAGAGGGAATGGGGAGAAAGAAAGAGAGGGGAGAAGCTGGGTTTATTCTATCCAAGGCTGTGATAGTCATACACAAAACAGAGGTCCTGTCCCGGCGTTTGGGGAAATGGGGCTGGGCTGTGATTGCAGCAGGAGCGAGTGAGGTCAGACAGCAGGGACTAGCTCACAGCACTCGGGGCGCTGGAGGATTCAGGAGGCTTGTGGGTGAGGGGTTCTCCTCAAGTCCTGACGGCCTCCGGGGTTGGGGGCTTCTCACAGTGCTTCTAAGGCAGCTCCTCAGCACATCGCTGTGTTGGATTTTCTTTAAACCTCTCAGCACTGCCTGAAATGTTAGTGTGCGTGATTATCCACCAGTGGCCTGTCTCCCTCACTGAACATTCATTTCTCCCCAGTGCCCAGCGTGTGGTTGAGATTTGCCTAAATATGTGTTGCATAGATGGATGAATGAATGACAGGCCTGGGACCGACGGACATATAGGCAGAGAGCTCAGGTCTGTGGCTGCAGCGGGAAGGACTCCGGGTGGACTTGAGCCTACCTGCGAGCCGGGAATGTGATGACTGGGGATCACTGTGCTGGTGAATCCATCACTTGGGATCTCAATGCACCCAGAGAATCTGGCTCTCAGCCCAGGCTCTATTTCAGGACTGGGGGCTCCTCACGCCTGCACCCTGTTAACTTCCAGCACAGTCATCCTGTCTGATCTTCTGCAAAAGCCTTTTTTTTTTTTTTTTTTTTTTTTTTGAGATGAAGTCTTGCTCTGTTGCCCACACTGGAGTGCAGTGCCACGATCTCCACTCACTGCAATCTCCACCTCCTGGGTTCAAGCAATCCTCCTACCTCAGCTTCCTGAGTAGCTGGAATTACAGGCGTGCGCCACCATGCCCAGCTATTTTTTTGGATTTTTAGTAGAGATGGGGTTTCACCACGATGGCCAGGCCGGTCAGGAACTCCTGGCCTCAAGCAATCCGCCTGCTTCAGCCTCCCTAAATGCTGGGATTATGGGCGTGAGCTATTGCGCCCCGCCCATCTTCTGCAAAACTCTGATTGCCACCTTGTTTCTTGTCTGTTCCTGTCAGAAGAGCTGAGACTTTGTCTGTCTTGTTCTCAGCTGTATTCCCAGTGCCCGAGTCAGTCCTAAGACACACAGTAAGTACTGAGTGAATATGGAGGGAATGAACGAATGAAGGAATAAATGAATGAATGGCAGAAGGGCAGAAGCAGGTAGACAGACTGCCACAGAGAGGAGGTGCAATGTGGTTTTCCCCAAAAGGACCAAGCAAGGGCTGCAGTGACGTCGGACTTGGGGGCTGTCCACTGCGTTTGAGTCTCGGGATCTTTCGTGGACCACGTTATTGATCACTGAGTTGATCTGCTGAGGCTCTAATGGCGCCATGAATCCCGGCTTCTACCAAGTCCCATGCCTGGCAGTGGGTGCATCCACCCAGCTCCTTGTCCCCACTGGACAGAGGAGCCAACAGAGGCTGCAGAGAGAGGCTGGAGGGGCTGACAAGCGAGGGGTCTGAAGGTGGTTGAGCCGGGAGGGTCTTGCCACGGGCTGGCGTGAAGCCGCATGAGTCTGGGTTGAAACCCTGTCCTTTTCTTACTGTGTGGCCTTGGGCCCTTCATGTGGGCTCCCTGGGCCTTGGTTGCCTCCTCTGCAAATTCCTGGACGTTCCTTCCTTCCCGCTCCATGAGACTGGTCTTCCTTTGATTGATTGATTTTTTTTTTTTTTTTTTGGGATGGAGTCTTGCTCTGTTGCTCAGGCTGGAGTGCAGTGGTGCAATCTCGGCTCACTGCAGCCTCCGCCTCCCTGATTGCTGAGGTTCTTTGTGCCTCAGTCTCCCCAGTAGCTGGGACAACAGGTGCACAACACCACGCCTGGCTACTTTTTGTATTTTTAGTAGAGACAGGGTTTCACCATGTTTTCCAGGCTGGTCTTGAACTCCTGACCTCAGGTGATCCGCCTGCCTCAGCCTCCCAAAGTGCTGGGATTACAGGTGGGTGCCACCACACCTGCAAGGAGGCTCTTTTGTTATCAGCTGCCTCAGGCTGTTGCCAAACCCAGGGAAAGATTTCGGTGGATGTTGGATCTGACTTGCATTGTTACGATTCTCTGCTGACATCTTGTCCAGGCAGCACTTTATTATTACCGTCAGCTGTTTGATCTGTGGCTCACACTTTCCCCCTGCGATCCTCCAGTCGCCTATTGCCTATTCGTGAAAAGTGATGATCTTGGCCAGGTGCAGTGGCTCACGCCTGTAATCCCAACACTTTGGGAGGCCGAGGTGGGTGGATCACGAGGTCCGGAGTCTGGCCAACAAGGTAAAACCCTGTCTCTACTGAAATTACAAAGTGTAGCCAGGTGTGGTGGTGGCTACTCGGGAGGCGGAGGCAAGAGAATGGCTTGAACCCGGGAGGCGGAGGTTGCAGTGAGCTGAGATTGTGCCATTGCACTCCAGCCTGGGCGACGGAGCGAGACTCTGCCTCAAAAAAAAAAAAAAAAAAAAAAAAAAAAGGGTGGGGACAAGCTGTCAGGATGATCCAGCCGGATGAGCCCTGGGAACCCTGTGTTTCAGGCCTGGCCCGCAGTGGGAGCAGAGCAGGAGGCCAGCTCGTTCTGCTTCTGGGAACCCCACGTAGACTTGAGGTGGGTGAAGAGCGGGGCTCTGGGATCAGAGAGATTCTACCCCTGGTTCTTCCACTCATCACCTGTGTGACCTCGGGAATTGACTAAACCTCTCTCAGCCTCAGTTTCCTCCTCTGAGAAAGGGGCCTCTCAGCTCCGTGGGGCTGTGGCCAGCATCCCAAGAGGCCATGCCGCCTGGTGGCCGGGAGGGCACAGGCTCCGGGGTGGGTGCGGGCTCAGCCTTGGCTCTGACGCTGATGTGCTAGGCCAGGCGTCCCCAAACTACGGCCCTCGGGCCACATGCGGCCACCTGAGGCCATTTATCTGGCCCCCGCCGCACTTCAGGAAGGGGCACCTCTTTCATTGGTGGTCAGTGAGAGGAGCACAGTATGTGGCGGCCCTCCAACGGTCTGAGGGACGGTGAACTGGCCCCCTGTGTAAAAAGTCTGGGGACGCCTGGGCTAGACTAAACTGGAGAATGCGCTTCTCTGAGCCTGTTTCCTCCTCTGTAAAGCAGGGATGATACCAGTAGCTACCTCGAGGAAGCTTCCAGGGGGTTATTATTCCCTGAGGTCTTGTGAGAAGCTGGGACCCCCGGAGGTCCTTAAGGTCATCAGCCGCCTGACCTGTGGGCACCTCCCTCCCTGCCAGGCTCAGTGTCCTACCCTGTAGAATGGGTTATTTGCATGTCTGCCCCACGAGGTGGCTGTGAGCATTCAGACCTCACCTGTGAGAACAACTGCTCAGGTGGGCACCTGGGACTCAGGAGGTGCTGAACTCTAGAGCTCTGAGAACCAGCCTGGGGCCCCCCAGGTTAATCCTGGGGGGAGGGGACACTGAGTCCCTTGTTCCACGCTTTGAAACCAGAAAACATCAGTGTCTGGGCCGGTTGAGTTGGCTCATGCCTGTAATCCCAGCACTCTAGGAGGCAGAGGCAGGCTTGAACCCTGGAAGCAGTGGTTGCAGTGAGCTGAGATCATGCCACTGCACTCTAGCCTGGGTGACAAGAGTAAAAGTCAGCCTCAAAGAAAAAAAAAAAACACCCCATAAAAAATCAGTGTCTGGAAATACTCTCGTTGTGAGATCTTGTATACAAAGTCTGGGTCAAGTGTCTGCCGAGTGACAAATTCCTGGATGTTCCTTCCCTCCCTACCTCCATGAGACTGGTCTTCCTTTGATTGATTGATTTTTTAATTTTTTTTGGGACGGAGTCTTGCTCTGTTGCCCAGGCTGGAGTGCATTGGTGCAATCTCGGCTCACTGCAGCCTCCGCCTCCCTGATTGCTGAGTTTCTTTGTGCCTCAGCCTCCCCAGTAGCTGGGACAACAGATGCACACCACGCCTGGCTACTTTTTGTATTTTTAGTAGAGACAGGGTTTCACCATGTTTTCCAGGCTGGTCTTGAACTCCTGACCTCAGGTGATCCGCCTGCCTCAGCCTCCCAAAGTGCTGGGATTACAGGCGTGAGCCACCGCGCCCGGCCTGTTTTGTTTTGTTTTGTTTTGAGACAGGGTCTTGCTCAGTCACCCAGGCTGGAGGGTGGAGGCTCCATCATGGCTCACTGCAGCCTCCAACTCCCGGCTCAAGCCATCCTCCCGCCTCTGCCTACCAGCGTGCTGGGATTACAGGTGGGTGCCACCACACCTGCAAGGAGGCTCTTTTGTTATCAGCTGCCTCAGGCTGTTGCCAAACCCAGGGAAAGTTTTCAATGGATGTTGGATCTCATTTGCATTGTTATGATTCTCTGCTGACATCTTGTCCAGGCAGCACTTCATTATTACTGTCAGCTGTTTGATCTGTGGCTCACACTTGTAATTCCAGCACTTTGGGAGGCCGAGGTGGGCGGATCGCCTGAGGGCAGAAGTTGGAAACCAGCCTGGCCAGATGGAGAAACCCTGTCTCCACTAAAAAAAAATTAGCCGGGCGTGGTAGTCCCAGCTCGGGAGGCTGAGGCAGGAGAATGACTTGAACCCGGGAGGTGGAGGTTGCAGTGAGCCAAGATCACGCCACTGCACTCCAGCCTGGACGACGGAGTGAGACTCTGTCTCAAAACACCACCATCACCACCATCAGCAACAGAAGGGGATGATCCTACATGTGAGCTCTCTTGGCTTTCCTGGAGGGTCAATTACTTAGCCAGGCAACCGGGCTCAGATTTGATGGTGAAGACGATGAAAGTGTGTTGCTTTTTTTTTTTTTTTTTTTTTTTTTTTTGAGACGAAGTCTCTTCCCGAGTAGCTGGGACAGTAGGCGCTCACCATCACGCCCGGCTAAGTTTTTGTATTTTTTTTTTTTTTTTGAGACGGAGTTTTGCTCTTGTTACCCAGGCTGGA